CCTGCTGAAGATCCTTTCAATTTATCATGGCTCACCGCCTTAGCCCCACCCCACTGTTGGAATGAAAGTTTCCGCTAAAGTTTTGGCAAATGTATTGTGGATTTATTTTCGACCTAAGGACAAGTTGCATTAATTTCAGAAGCTCAACTAGTACCGCATTTTCAAAGATAAGGAGAATGAACCGGATTCGACATACAAAGTACGCCAGTATTGACCATCGCCTATCCAACGACTCAAACGAAGAAGCGCAAGAATAATACCGTATCAACGCAGATTCAGATAATCGTGAAAGACAGTTGAGTATCACAGGCAAATTTACTAAAAAGGGTACTCGATAAGTCAATGGAAAAAAATTAATGGAGCGTGTGGAGCGTAACGATGACGTAGTAAAACACCTTGGGAACGAAAAGGAGGGCACGATTGTGCGGTTGGCACGCTTCACCGCCACCTCGTTAGCACGTGGAAAGTACAAGTCACCAGGACGTGCACTGAAAATCTAAAGTCTGCCACTAACCGATCGACTTCATGTGTGTGAACTCTGGGTGAGGGCGCAGGGTCAGGTCAGGAGCAAGAAAGATTTTAGGATGGGAGAAAATGAACCTTATAGTTGAGGTAGACAGTCGAGATTAACACTACCATAATTGGTCGGGTTATGACAAAAGGAGACGTTGTGGAGGCACCACATTTGAGAGATCCCATACAAGTGACACATGTGACACCTCAACGCTTTATCTTGGCCTGTCTGACCAATGTGCATAGCATATGTAAATTATCACCGTGACAGCTACCAGTGATGTCAAGGCAACATATTAATGAGCTGATGATATAAACTTTCCCCAGCCTTCATGGGAAAAGCCCGTAGAATTGAGGGAATTCCTTTGGCCGAAGGATACTTCGAATCTGTTATGCCGCAGAGGGCAGTCGCAGATTGCTGTTTGCTTTAAAACTGTCGCAAGGAAAACCACCATCTCCAATTTGTCAGGATTATAAATATTCATAGGAGCTTTCTAATACTAAACAGGGATCTCTAGCTTCTAAAGTGGTGAAACTCATCCAATTACCAAACTTTTTGCCCCACTGATTCGTCTCAACTTTTGCAGAGATGACTTCATGGGCACAAAAACGTGCCCTTGATGTGTCATGACAACAGGTTATTAGGACAACATTCTCAAAATGTTCATTCTCCATTTGAAGTAGATTCGCCGACGTAAAGCTTCTCACAATCAAGCCATTCAATGAGGATTTTGCCGTTTTTAAACCCTGAAGGTTGATGGTGAGAGAGAGGCTGCTGCCTCTTGAGAGCCAAAAATCATTTGGAGTTGAGCCTGCGACTCCAAACTTTAAGGAACCTTAGGAAGCGAAGTTAACAATTATAAAGTCCGTTATTTTCAAAGACGAGAAACAAGAGACGAACTTCTGTCCCCAATCCCCATCCGCATATATCTGACCCAACAGCTTTGGCGACGCCAATAACAACAACAACAACAACCGCAATAGCCTCCACACGTATAGCGATGTGGTTGTGTGCACTTTAGAAGTACCTATTTTTCAGTGATTTCAAAATTTGCTCCAAAATAGAGAACCTAGGATTCCCCCCTTGTCCTTATGCCATATCCTCGCCAGGACCAATATGTTTCCAAAAGGAAGAAGGTGAAGAAGGAAAGTGGTGGTTGCGATTCTTCAGCTAACAAGTGAGAACAAACAAATGGTGGATGTCAGAGAGAGAAAAGACGCCGAGTAATTCACCCCACAAAGGAACGACATAAATACGAGTAAGTTGACGACAGTGAGGTCGAACACGGGTGGCGCAGTAAAACCGCCGCCAGTGCAGGCCCAGGCAGGACCTTGCTAAAGTGCATCAAAGGAAAGTATGTGTGCGGGGGAGGAGGTAAACGATGAACGAGTCGAAATTAGCATCAAATTGTCTTCAAGGCCGGACCACGGCAGTCAAAGCCTAGTATTCAGTGTTACTTCTTCACCTTAACTACCACCGTTCACTTACCTTCACCCGCATAATAAAACCATTTGTTTTGATTGTGCGAAAGTAAGGATAACCAATGCCATTTTCAGAAGTTAGGAGGACGATTTAAATGTCCCGTTATATGCTTTGACAAGCGATATTTTTTTGTTTTGGAAAGCGATGTGGTACACCGTCAAACTCAATAGAGTAAACAGTGAGATTTCACACGGCATCGCTTTAAAAGATTTTACTTGGAAGTCTCAAACGAATTAATAACAACGGAAAGGATTTAACAAAAAAAGAAGTTATTTAGCTCTTCAGCCCTGGAGTAGAGAGGACTGAGGCGAGATGCGGCGGAATGCAACTTTTTACACTGCTACAACTGTTAGTCAGTAGATGTGAAACACGTTTTCCCGACGCTAATAAGGTAAGGCGGATTTGAATAGTTTGTGAGAAATATTCATGGGGAATTACAAGATTGGTGAAAATAGGAACCGTAGTTATACTGTCAAACGGACAAAGAGTTGACCTGGAGAAGGATCAATAGTCCGGCAAATTACGCGCTGCCAGACTCAAAAAATACGTTACTCTTCACTGAAATGGGTCCACTTACAAACCAGGACAATCTTAAAGAGAGCAGGTACCCGCAAACCCTTAGCCCAATCGCCTGGAGCGGCTTCTATTCCTGCAATGCTGACGAGTCTGAAACGAGATTGAGAATTTCCAACGCAAGAGAGGAGATGTCATAAAGTGAAGACGATCAGTAAGAAGCCTGTTCTTGCGACCTCCTCTCATTTAACCTACAACTGCGTATTCGCACAAAACTAATGACAAATGAATGCTGATCTGCTTTCCAACCGAAAATATCCATAATAGACCCAGTGGCAACTACGATCACCCAAATGGACAGATGTATGGTCTCACACCGCAAATTAATAAACTGAAGACACCATCCCTCGCCACATTAAGTAAACAGAACTAATAGACATTGCACAAATTACAGATGCACTTGAAGTTTTGCCAAACCTCGTGCTGGCTGAATAAAGTCGTAGCTTCTCAGTTTAGACGTTGTTTGGTATTTGTTGCCATTCCACAAATTTTGCCAGAGAAACGACTAAATCTGATGAACATTGCACTAATTGGACAATGAATAGACAAAGTTGTCCATACTACGGCCGATACTAATCACCGGGATGGAAATGTTGCACAGTTGGAAATTTGTTTCCAAAATTAGCCCATTGTCGCCCAGTCAATTTGTACGTAGGCAGTGAATCACTTATCACAAATCGTAAAGAGCAACCTTTGGTGCAGTCTATTCAACTAATTGCCAGGTGATGCATAATAAGAAAACTTTGCGTTTAAAACGATTTCCAACAGGAAGTCGAACAAAACGAATGCAGACAGAGGGAGGGGCTTGAAAAGGGGGTACACAAAGAGAGGATCAGTGTTTGTGCTTCATCACTCGGGGAAGGGGTGAAAATAAAGGAAAAGTCAAGTGAATCACCCATAATCAGAAGTTGCCCAAATTCCAACCGGAGGATGAAAATGATTATGCAAATGCCTTAGTGGTGGCACTCGCGGCGCAGAGCAACCGCCGCTTTCGGAGTGTGGATGCGGGAGAAGCCAGATAAGTACAAATATGCAAAAAAAAGCAGAAATTAATAAGAAAAACTGCAAGAGAAAAGGACCACTTAGTACATGGAGAGAACGAGAGGACAAGCAGCATAAATTTGCTGCCACGTTTGCCACCAACGCAGCCTACAACACGCATTCTTCATAACTTTACAGTAGGCAATGGCCAAAATCATGTCGCGAACCAACTGCCTGACTTTAAACAACGGAGAAGACTCTGGGCCTTTTTTGATTCGAGAGTGAATACCCTTTTGGGAGTCGGGAAAAGGGGGAGAGGCAACAATTGAACACGTTATTTTCGAATTGAAATAATTGAATTTCCTCTTCAAAAAGGCAAAAGCATGGGTGATGAGCGCCTGAGGTGGATTAAGTTTCAGATAATTAGTAACTGCTACAAAAAGATGCTGTGACTGGGACTTTCAAGGCGTCGTCAATGTAATATAGACGAAGACCAATGCCGCCATTTTGGCAGGATGTCAGTCCTCTGACTCACGCCTATCTCCACTCATAATGTGGAGGCGTTTCCACTTTCGTGACCAGAAGCGAGTGAAAGTTGTTATATGCTCAACTATGCATTTGCCACTAGTAATTTCACTTGAATAATAATGAAATTGCCGACCACGTAGACCTCTGACGCTTAGAGAGAGACAGAAGTGAAGGTACTTCCAAAGACAGCAAAAAGGATCGAGGATTGGAGAGAAGCCACCGGTTTATAGGAATCACTTCTTCTGAGTGCACAATTTCGACAGTTTAAGAAGACGCAGCTCGTTATTAATTTGCAAAATAACATCAATTCTTAAAAAGAACATATTTTGAAATGTAGGGGTATCAAATAAGGTAGTAGTTGTTAACGGAAAGTAAGCTGGCTATTTTTATTACAACTGAACCGATATGACGAGCCTAGAAAATTGCTAAGACAGCAACATTGGGACAAAAAAAAACATTCATGAGGAATGTGGAATGAATCAATTGGCAGTGTCCTTTACGACTTCAATTCTACGCACGCATTTTTTAGTCAGAAATAAGCTTTAAAACACATTTCAGATGATCACAGTGCAAGCGTTGCCTTCCATTCAAATTCCCGCCCAAATTATACCCAGTAATCCAAAAGTTCGAATAGGAGAGAGGAAATGGACACATCGAAATGCAAGTCGAAGTTGAGAAGGTAAAGAATTTCACGATAAAAAGCAATTAATCCAGAAATACTGCCAAACAAAAAATGCATTGAAATAATCTGGAACAAGACTGAGCTACCAGGTCTGGACTGCTTACAGTAACGGTGCAACTCCTTTTCCAATGCATCACAAACATACGTGCCGAGGCGACTCCAATCCCAACCTTTCTGCCATCCTCCTACCCGTTCCACCGCATAACGAATTAAGAATTTCAAGTACAGATCCCTGCTTAACTAAGGAGAGGCTCCTAACTTCCAAGCATTTTTAGCCGGTTCGATGCAAGCGACAAAAAAATTCGACCGTAAGCACTGCAGTAGAGACCACTCTTTTGAGCGGAGGAAGGTAACGAAAAAATTAAAGGAGGAAGTAACTTGAAGCATAATCCTAGTGCCAATGCCACAACCGCTTTCGCCTACGAAATCCAGACTCCAAAAACCTTCATTTTCACAACCATGAACAGAAACGCAGAAAATAGAAAAAGTATAGTTGATACATTGGTATTTGAAGCGATGAGAACAGGTTAAAGACCCACCTGTATAATCGGGTGTTCCCGCGAGTTCCTTATGGGGCTTAACTTTGTTTAAAACAGAGGCCAGCCCAAAATCCGTAATGAAGACGTCGGAGGATGGGTAGGGCTTCCGGAGGAGGATATTTTCCGCCTACAAGAAGGGGGACATATAAAATTCTACTTCAACGAAATACAGACTCAGGATAATGAAAAGTCCATAAATTCTATAGACTTTCTGCAAACTATGGAGAACCATTCCCCAGAGCTAACCACCAAGATTTACAAAAAAGTTGGAAGAGGAACTAACGAGAGATAGCCATCACCAACATCCACAAACACAGGTGAGCAGACACTCACCAACCCATCTCGAATGCGGGCCTAACGGTGCACCAGACAGAGCAGGGAAACGTGGACAAAGAAAATCATGATAATACAATTAGATCGTAAATGGGAGTAGGAGAGCAAGCGCAACTACGACAAGGTGACATAAGACCAATACCATTTAATTCCGTGCTTTTGTAACCATGGGAAGTCAGTTACCAATTTGACTTCCCGAAATTTATGGGTACACGATTTTCGCTTGATACCGCGAATGATCCTGATGATTTGCTTTCGGATGAGACGGAAACAACTCCGATAATCAAAAGGAATACATCTCAAGAGGTGGGAACTATAAGCGTTGTCGCAGTCTCCCGCCACACGTCCATATTCACATGTAACAAAAGGCCCGGAAAGCCTGAGCTCAGAAAGCTTCGCTAGAAACAACCGCTCCATGTTGTACGCACCACTTCAGAGGAGAGGATAATGCTTCCTTACCTTCACGGCAGATGGTTGTGATTAGTATTCAAAGTCAAAAAATCTTTTACACCTAGTGGATGTTCATAGAAATGATGAACTATGACCAATGATACATTAATGAGATAACATTCAATTCATTCAAAGGCCACACTGTTGAAAGAGTGCGCGTGAGATTCTAAAGTTTTCAAAGCAACTGCATATTTGTCGCCTATAAAAACAACCCTAAAGAACGCTAAGCTGAAACCTGTGCCCGAAACTAACGAAACCGACAATTAACACAGTGGAATATTGCTAAAGGACAACCAGCATAATAGAGTGCAGAGGTTGGTGAGGAAGCTGTGACAAATGGCGCCAATGTAATAAGTGCCGTTAAAAAATGAGAAGATAGCACGACATAAAACTGGAAACTGATCAACGACAGAAGGAATAACAATGTAAAGGTAATGCGAATAAGGCATACTTTGATGTCCAAATGAACTATGTTGGCCTTCTCGTGCATAAATGCAAGCGCATCAACGATTTTTGAAAGAACTGAAGAAACGTAAGATTCCGGTATTTTTGACCGCAAAATATTTCCGTCGGTGAAGGTCCCATCGCCTGAAGGCAATGGAGGCCGATTGAAAGATGTCGGAGAACAGAGATCAAACAAAGAACCACCTTCGGCGCTAGGACAGATAGCAAGAAGTAAAATCAGACGAGATATGCATGCGCTTCACCATATGAGCTCGACTTACAACTCCATGACGATCGCTACTTGAGTGAGGTCCTCGTGGACAGAAAACAGGATGGGTGCCGCTGCACTAGGAGCGCAAGCATCCACGTTTGAGGATTGGAGAGTTCTAATCAACTTAATCTCGTTTCGAATTTTCTCAATGGAATCACGTCCACAGCGAAAACGGCGAATAATTTTTACTGCGAGCGACCTGTCATCTGGTACGTCATTAATAAGTTCCACACTTTGCCCAAATTCACCGGCGGGAAGGCAAGCAGGCACACTAGACTTTCTTTCATGCAAGTAATTTCCACGCTTCAGTCTTATTCGGAAAACCTTCCCCGCACCACCACTAAAGAAGATATAGAAGAAAAGCAACGAACTTACCGCCCAATAACGTCTCCAACTGTGTCATAAAATTGTCGCCATGATTCATCAATACCAACTTTAGGATTAAAGCGTTTGGAACGCGATGATGAATCCCGGGAAGCGGACTTATATGGCATCAGAGCACGCACCAATTTCAAGTCGATATTCCCGCAACTGCACGACCTTCGTGTTTACCAACACAATAATTAGTGTCTGCATAGGATAAAACAAAATAATGCAGAGTTAATAATTGCATTAGAGTGTGATTTCAACATTATATTAAATTTACTTAATGAATTTTGTGTAAATCTTATTAATTTTAAGATATCAGTTTGAATACACATATTCGAGAATGAAATGAGAAGACTTAGCTTTGGCTTGGCTCGAAGACCAGATTACGAGTTCAGGGACAAAATGAGTCCAAAAGCAACCGACAACCATACAGGTAGTTGTATAAAAAGTGTTATGTTGTATAATGGGCTTTATTGCCATTGCGGCATTATTGTAGGAACTGTCTGCCTACCCCAATGACTTTGAACCACGGACTTTGAGAGAGATTTAGTTGCAGTGGATTTACTAATCGTTGATAATAGGAAGAATGGGGATAAAAGTATAGATGAGCCGAATAGCAGATATCTCTGGAAGAGGGATTCCGGAATTCGCTTCCCGAATCTCCTTTAAAAGGTCGATATAAACACTTTTGTATACATTACAACCATATCCCCGAAATGTTGCACTGGCAACTGTAGCGTCCCGAGACTTCCTCTAGGGTAGTAGAAGGCATAAGTGAGGTTGAATACACGTATTTTGAAGA